GGTTTATATTTTGTTTCTCTTTGTAAATACCACAGGGTACCTGTTTTGGTATAGGTACCCTTTCCTGTTGCTGGGCGGGATAACAAACACCTGGAACTTAAAGGAGGACAGGGTTAAGTTGGCTCACAGTTCAGAGGGTGCAGTCCATGGTCGGTTGGCTGCAAAGCAGAAACATCATGGCAGAAGTGTCTGGTGGAGCAAAGCTGCTTAGCTCATGGTGACCAGAAAGTAGAACGGGGTTGGGGGGTGGGCACCAGAGAGAAAGGAGCCAGAGACTGGATATAACTTCCATTACCCACACAGACACACTCAGGAGTGTGTTTTACTCATCTCTTAAGCCAATTCAGTTTAGCTGTCACAGTAGGATTCCTGTGTCATCATGTGGGTATATATTTAACTCTTAAAACACTTCTTGGCCAAAGCAGTTTGCCATTTTCCCTTCTACCCACAATGGACAAACATTTTCATGTTTTCTATCTTTGCCAGTACTGCTGTTGTCAACATTTTAATTGTAGCCATTCTAGTGGGTGTGTTGTTGCCTAGTTGTGTCTGTATTTTTTTACACCTCCTTGGATAATTCTCACAAGCAACTACATTAGTTGGCCATTGCTGTGTAACAAATCAACCTAAACTTAGTGGCTTAAAATAGCTCTGTGTATTAGAATCTGGTCATGGTTGAGCAATAGTCTTCCCCAGCTGCAAGGCGCTGGTTGCAGCTGTGTCATCTCAGGGCCCCTTGGGACAGGCTCTATCTACCTCCAGGCTTGCCCAAGCCTGTGCCCTTGCCATCCCTATTTTGTATAGCACCTATCAACCTGCAGGGTCAAAGAAATCTTGCTGGCACTTATGGAGGTTTGCTGCGCCCAGCTATCTGTGCCACTGGCTCTCCACGGCCACCTTCTCTCACCCTCAGTCAGCCCAGAACATAGATGCTGTTGCCAAAATCCCAGTTCTACAGGTGGAGTGGTACAGGCCCAGGGAAGCTGATGAATAAGGTCCAACATCACACAGCAGGCACTTGGCAGAGCCTGAGGTTCAACCAAGCTGTCTCATATTGAAGTCTGACTACCTGACCAGCGGGCCATATTTCAGACTCAAACTCTCGCACACGTTTAGGGTGCATAATCATCCCTATTAGAGTCCAGAGTTGGGGCTGGGGATTTAGCTCAGCGGCATAGCACCCGCCTGGCAAGCGCAATGTCGTGAGTTCGATTCCCACTACCAGAAAAAGCAAACAAACAAACAAACAAACAAAAAAAAAAATGGAGTCCAGAGTTATAGAATCCCACTGGTTCCTTTCTCAGTACTCTGCCCAACTCTGTGCTCTCGGGCTTCTTCTTGAAGTTCAAGTTCAAGGGCAAAGCTGTGATATTTTTTCCCCCTCTAGCTGGGCTGCTCCTCCACTTGCATTTCCTTGGTGCTGCAATTTGAGAAGGATGTCCCAGCATGAGTCCTGAAATTAATAAACAGCCCGTTAGGTGAAAAGTTAATCATGTCGAAAAGGGGTTGTCTAGCATCTCTGGTAAGGCTAAGAGTTTGTTTACAGATCATTAACTACATAATTAATTTCTGCTTTCCCGGCAGAAGCCCCGTAAGGGACAGCATCTGTCTGGTTCACCACGCTTGTGTTTTCAACACTCACATAGGACCTGGCCTGCAATAAGGCTTGATAAATATTTGCTCATTAGATGATGGTTTGGGTCCACCTGTCCCCTGCCCTGGCCATCTGTCTTAGCCTTGACTGGCGGAAGGACAGCCCAAGGCTTCTGGGCAGGGCTCTTCTTCAGAAGCAGGGGCAAGTGCTGGTGACATCTAGAGAGCTGGGTCTCCAGGTGTCATCTTCCACCCAAACGGCAGTGAAGGCTCTGTGGGGAAGAGCGATGAGGAGGAAGGAAAGGAATTCATTGCCTGCTCCCTGCACGGAAAGGTCAGTTGCTCCCTGAAGAGTTGTTGGGTTTTTAGTTTTTCATTTTTTTTAATTGTGTAAAATACACGCAACAGGGGCTGGGGATTTAGCTCAGCGGCAAAAGCGCCTGCCTGGCAAGCGCAAGGTCGTGAGTTCGGTTCCCGGTACCGGAGAAAAACTAAAAAAAAAATAAAATAAAATAAAATAAAATACACGCAACAGAATTCACCATCTTCACATAATTCATAATAGTGTCCAAACATCTCCACCATTAATCTCCACAGTGCTCTTCACATTGTCAGGCAGAGACTGTGCTCATTAAACCAGAACTGTCCAGTTCCCTGCCCTCCGGCCCCTGGCAACCACTGTTCCACTTTCCATCTCTAAAGCGCGGCCACTCAGGGATCACCATGCATGGGGGGCTCTGGGTTCAGGCCCCAGTACTGTAAAACAAACTAACAACAAAACAAAAAACAGAAAGTGACAAATGTTGTGGAAGAATTAGAAAGCCACGCTGCTCTTCATGACTGGCTTCTTTCAGGTAGTGTCCTCTAGGTTCACCTATGCCTTAGCATATGTCACAATCACCTTCCTTTTTAAGGCTGAATAATATTCCAATGTGTGGCCCATATTTTCTTGTCTGTTCATCTGTTGGTGGGCATAGGAGTTGCCTCCGTGCTTTAACTATTGTGAATAGCGCTGCTATGTACTTGAGTATGCAAATATCTCTTCAACGTCTCTGCTTCCAGTTCACTGCGGTATGTGCATGTGTGCCTGGTAATTCCATATTTAGTTATTTAAGGAAGAGTCATGCTGTTTTCCACAGCAGCTGTACCATTTAAATTCCCAGCAGTGCATGGCTTTCTAATTTTTCCACATCCTCACAAAATTTGTCACTCTGTTTTTCGTTTTGTTGTTTGTTTGTTTGTTTGTTTGTTTTACAGTACTGGGGCTTGAACCCAGAGCCTTTGCACTGAGCTACATCCTCAGTCTTTTTTCGTTTTTTATTTTGAGACAGTGTCTCACCAAGTTACCCAGGCTGGGCTCGAACTTGCCATTCTCTAACCCCCAGCTTCTCCAAGAGCTGGGACTGTAAGTTCAAACCACCACACCTAGTATTTTCTGGCTTTTTTGACAGCAGCTGTCCTAATGGGTGTGTGGTGGTTATTACTGTAGTTTGACTTGCACTTTCCTGATGATTAGGGAAGGTGAACGTCTTTTCATGTGCTAAGCAGCCCTTTGCACATCTTCTGTGGAGAAATATCTACTCAAGTTCTCTATCCATTTCTGAATACGGTTGTTCAGATTTTGACTCTGCACATCTGGGTAGCTTGCTGGTGGACAGTGTCCTTGCTCTGTCTCATCTCAGCAGCTGAAGAGAAGCCCCAGGGTAGGTGGCTGGGCTGTGCCCACCTGATGCTGACCCATGCAGAGATGGCCACAGTGGGAGGAGGTGGCCCAGGGTCCTGGAGACAGGCAAGGCTGGGAGAAGCTGAGGAGAGGGGTCTGACGCAGGCCTGGAGAGGCACAGCTGGGCATCCACTCCCTAATTGCTGAATGCTGGTTCCCACTGGAAACCTTCCTGACTCATCCATTTTTCCCGGGGCTCAGAGGCCCACGTAGACCGAGAGTATCTGGTTCTAAGTCTCGCCCGCTCCACTTTCTGCAGAGCCTGCTCCTGCACCTCCTGCCTCCGGGCATTCTTGTTCTTCACCTGTAATCCACTCCTTCAGCTCCCAAACCTCTGCTCTGCTTTGAGAATACTGAGCTCTTTAAGATGCACTTGAAATGTGGGGAGGAACCAGGGTTTCGGCTTCTGCATATGGCCAGACCTTGGGACACAGCCATTGTCTTCATTTAGGATCTAGAGCAGTGGGGACTCCCCCCTTTTGAGACATGACTGCAGGTTAGTGGAAATGAGGTCAAATTTGAAGTCAAAATATTTGAAGGCGTGATTATCCGTTCCAGTTAATCACTGTACGACAGTGAGCGTTCCTGAACCCCAGTTTTCTCTTTGTGAAACACGAGGGGTGATCAAAATATACAGTGAATATCTAAATTTTAGAAATTTGTTTCAGTAAAAGACACATGGCCATTTTCCCCTTTGCTTTGAAACACGCACATTTATCCCATGAATCTTGACACTCTCTGAAGCAGCTCTGGAAGTTCTCCTTCGTGCATGTCTTTGTGAGATGAGATAAAAAGAAAAACTGTGAATGTCCACTGCCAAGTGCAGTCCAACGGACAGGCAGGCTGGTAAGAAACATGGAACTTTGTCCTCAGCCACTTTATCCACGCGGCCTGACACCAGGCATCTTCTGCCTCTTCCTGCAGTTAAAGTGATCATGAAAGGGAAACATGTGGAATCAATTCAGGACGTCGAGGCGGCCACAACAACAAAACCAAAGACCCTCATGAAAGAGGACTTCCAGAGCTGCTCCAGAAAGTGGCAAGATCGATGGGATTAGTGTGTTCAAAATGAGGGAGAGGACTTTGAGGGAGACTCAAGGTCATGTGTCTTTTAATTTAAATATTCACCTTGTATTTCAATTACACCTCACAGTATAATAAATGTAACACAGGTTTAGCTGAGATATCGGAGGTGGATATGACTTTGGGGAATATAAAAGGACACAGAGACGTGAGCCGGGTTCTATCTTGTCCTTCTGTCTGGAGACCTTTCTCCCACCCTTTCTCCCTCTGCCTTCCATATTCCTGGTCCTCCAGGTGTAGCTTACCATCAAGATCAAAGGTAGACAGAGTTGAGGTGACCGCAGGGATGACCAGGGCCAGGCTGGGCAAGCTTTTTTGGGCCACCACAAGGAGTCTGTGCCAGGGTAGTGGCAGCAGCTGGCATGTCTGAGCCCTGGAAGGAGAAGGGAGGCAGGGAAGAAATAAAAGAGTCGGAGAGAGGGAGGGCGTGGCTTGTGGCACTGTGTGCTGGTGGGCTCGGAAGAGATCTTTTGTCTTCCCTCCTTGGAGCAGAACAGAACTACCCGCATCCCTGCCTCGGGTGAAAGGCGAGGTCACACCTCCTGCGCTGCTGGGTAGGAACCGGCAGGACGCCCCCTAGCGAGCTGATTTGTGTTTGCAGTTCAATGTGAAGAAATCTACTGAGCCGGTCCAGCCCCGAGCCCTCCTCAAATTCCCGGACATCTACGGCCCCAGGCCCGCTGTGACAGCTCCAGAGGTCATCAACTATGCCGACTACACACTGGGGACCACGGAGGAGCCTGCTGCGCCCGCCAGCCCTCAGCCCCCGAGTGACAGTCGCCTCAAGAGGCAGGTCACAGAGGAGCTGTTCATCCTTCCCCAGAACGGTAGGAGTCTCTTCTACCTGGTGGGCTGATGCAGGAGGGGACCGTCAATGTCACTGTGATGTCTTGTGTGGCCTGTGATGCACAGTTGAAAGGGGAGTCCCTTTCTGGCCTTGATGTGCAACTAGGGAGAAAGAATAAAGCATGGTAATTAAACTGCGGGCTTCGGAGTCATGGGTTCGATTCTTTGCCCTTTTATACATTTGCTATATAGCATCAGTCATGCTGCTAACCTCTCTGGGCCTCAGTCTCCTCATATATAAAATGGGATCATCTTATCACTATCCAGTTAGGGTTGTTGTAGAGTGTGAATGAAATAATGCCTACACATGCTCAATCCACAGCCTGGCACAAAGAACATAATCAAAACCTACAGTTTGTGCTACTGCTTGATTCTCCTTTCCATCAGAATCAGAGGGGACAGGGCAATGCCCCCAAGTGGACAGTACCAGGTGGGGCATGGCATGATGTACCAGGCAGACATGGTCCCCAACTCAAAAGACTGTGGAAGCTTTTCAGAGGGTGAAACAAAACCAGGAGAAGGGCATAGTGTTTTGAGGTCTGGGCTTTGTTTTGAGCGAGAGAGGCAGAAGTAACCCAATGACTTTGACTTTGACCCCACCTCAAACCTTGCCTGGCCCGGATTCACCTGCACCCACACTGCCCGATGGATGGGGCTCCAGACCGGAAGCCCAGTGACCAGGCTGGAGTGGAAGCATGTGTGTGTTGTGCCTGCAACACGGAGGAAGGAATCTGGTGGGCTTTGAACCTCCAGGTTTGCCCACCCACACTTTACATAGACTTAGAATGGATCCGTTCAGCCAGGTGTGATGGCAGCCAGGTGTGATGGCACACACTTGCGATCCCAGCCTTCTGGGAGGCTGAAGCAGGAGAAAGATTGCAAAAAAAAAATCAACTCTGGGCAATTTAGTGACCTAGTAAGATCCTGTCCCTATAGAAAAAAGGGGAAAAAAGGGCTGAGGATGTAGCTCAGGGTGAAGCTGGTGGGTTCATTCCCTAGTACCCCCCCACACACACAAACACACACACACACAAAAGAACTTAGATAAGTAGAGGTTGGTTCTGATGTCAAGGCTGAGACTGCCTGAGAGCTGAGAACTCTGGGTTCCACTGAGCCCCTCCAAAGGCCACCAGTGCTGCAGCCGTCCGCGGGATGGACTTGGAAGCCTAGTTGGCCTTTTGTGCACATGTGTCTCAATTTACACATTGGTCACTTCCTGGTCTCTTTCTTAGATGCCCTGGGGAAATGTTCTACTATCTGCAGCACCTAATAATGAACCACTTTGGAAATGAATAGCCACTTCTATTTCTAGTCTCTGAATTGGTCCTGAGCATTGAAAATTAAATTCTGCTTTGCTTGAAGTGGCCTCGGCAGCAGCTGGGTTCTAATTCTGTTTGTATCTCCAGCTGTTCGCTCTTGGGAAGGAGGAACTGTGCTCGGTGGCATAGGTGGAGCTGGGGTGGCTGGGAGCGGTTTGCCTACGATACAGTTACCAGAATCACACAGCTGTGACAGGCTTCTTCCCCAAAAGCCCTCTGTGGACCAGGCTCTGGGTTAAGAATGTCCTCTGCCTTATTTCCTTTCATGTTCACAGTAACTCCAGGAAAGAGGAACTCTAAGGATGAGGACTCTGAGGCTCAGAGAAGTCAAGCGACATGTCCAAGGTCACACAGTTATTACACAACAGCTCGTGTCTGACAGTGGAGCCCATGTCTTGTCCACTGGAATATGATGGTCCCTTAAAGTGCAATGCTTATGGCTCTGGTGTGGCCCTGGTGTGACCACCACTGGAGACTGTCAGAAGCTTTGCCTTTGGATTCGTGGCTTAAGCGGCAGAGGTGAGAAACCTGTGACCAGCGAAGCAGGACCCCTGTGTGGGGGTGGCAGTGACAGCTTTGCCCCTCACAGGTGTGGTGGAGGATGTCTGCGTCATGGAGACCTGGAACCCGGAGAAGGTCGCCAGCTGGAACCAGGCCCCCAAACTCCACTACTGCCTGGACTACGACCGGCAGAAGGCTGAGCTCTTTGTGACTCGCCTAGAAGGTACCGCTCTTCTGTGCGTGACTTCTGTGGGCTTCTGGGTGCCTGTGACCCCTGGAGGGGCCATGCAGGCAGGATGGGAGGGTCTGCGCCTGGGGTAGTGTGGGTTAGCATTCCAACAAACAGCCCCAAGGCACAGTCCTCAGGTATATAGATTTTGCTTCTGCTCTGGATAATCCAAATTGAGGATTCCTGGTTGGCAGACATCTTTCCTCCACATCAAGGACCCATCCTCCCCTCTGAGGCTCCATGGTCCCCTTGGGCCTCCTTCTCAGCTGTATGTAGCAAGTGAAAAGGGAACAAGCATCAGAAGAGGGTGCAATCTTTCCCCAATAGCCTTACCCAGACATGGCCTGTATCACTTCTACTCACATCCCATTGCCAGAGCCCAGTCACACGACCACACCCCACTGCAAAGGAGCCTGGGAAATGTGGCCTAGTGAGCTGCCCAAGTAAAAGAGCGGTTTTGGGGTGAACAACTAGCGGCCACTGCCATAGGTTCCTTTGACACTGGACAGGGTTTTGTGCTACACACGGAGGGTCTTCAGAAGGGTCAGAAAACTTTCCACAATCTAAGAAACAGACAATCTTTCCAAGCAGTTGGGATGTCCTTGTTGTCCTTCTCCTGACAGTCCTTTGTTTGTCCTTTGTTTACTACCAGTAAACAAAGCTAAGATTTTGCAAAGGAATCAGAGCTAGAAGTGAGGCCAGATAAACTGGGCTTCTGTGATAAATTATCCTTCGTCTTTGTGTTGCTTGGCTTTCTCTTGGGTGATAAAATACCTGAAAAAAATCAATTTAAAAGAAGAAAAGATTTATTTTGGCTCATGGTCATTTGGTCCTCTTGTTTTTGGACCTGCGCCAAGGCAGAAGATGAAGGCAGGAGTGCGGGGTAAAGGAGGCTTGGTGACTGCCTGCTGGCCAGGAAGAAAGAGAGAAGGAGGCTAGTGTCTTAGCATCCCACTCAAGGCCACACCCACAGTGGCCCAGCTTCCTCCCTCTAGGGCCCACCTCTTAAAGGTCCCACCATCACCCCTCAAAGCTGTCACCTGCAGACCAAGCCTCTGGGGGACACCATGACGGTTTTTTGTTTTGTTTTGTTTGTGGCACTAGGGACTGAAGCCAGCTAGGCATGCACTTTAGCACTGAGCTGCATTCCTAGGCCTTAACTTTCTTTCTTTAAGAGGTTTTTTTCTTTTTGTTGTCTTTTAAGTTTTTTAGGCATATTTTATTATATTTGGTCTTCATAACACTGCCATTTTGTCTAGGAACTCCTATGACTGGTCCAAGATCATTCCAACTAACTGGTAACAGAGCCAGGACTGGGCAGTCCCTGGATGCTCAATAGGAAGTTCTATACTTCAGGACAGTGGCCTTCATTCTTTAGCTCCTCTCCCTGAGAAATATCAGCTCCCTCTTCACAAATTCTCACTGAGGAGCCGGTCATCAAAATACCGCAGAGGGGAATCTGGGTCAATCCACATGTGACTCATTAAAAATACCACAATTCAAGAATACAAAGCAGCATTCTTGAGGGAGCAGACAAAAGGTTCAGGCAATGCTAGGATTTGAGTCTTAAGTGTCCATCAGAGGCCCCTGGTAGCAAAGGCTGGCTTCCCTAGGTGGCACTAAAGGGAGAGGGTGATGCCTTTAGGATGGGGGCCTGGTGGAAGGTCTCTAGCTCATAAAGGGGGCAGTGGTACCCAGGCCCCTTCCTCCTGCTCCTGTTTGTTCACTGGCTATGATGTGCTGCCTCACCAAGGACCAGAAACACCAAGGCCAACCAATCACGGGTGGAATTTCCAAAACTGTGAGCCCAACAGACCTTTCCTCTGTATAAACTGATCTGTCTCAGGTATTTGTTATAGTGACAGGAAGCTGACTAATACAGTGCACATTGTGAAGCATTAAAAACAGGATCCAGGAGGGAGCAGCCAGATGAGTCACATCCCAAGGGGTAAATATTTAACTTACAGAATGAATGAATCACAGCATGAGTAACAACCCTAACAAAAGTGACCTGAGGTGGAGGGGCCCTAGACCCTGGGAAGAGCCCAGACTCCTGACATCAGGAGAGCTCTAGGAAGTGTTGATTCTGGTCACTGTTCTCTTCAAGAAGACCCAAGGTGCTGACCCTAGATCCTCCATGAGCTGTACTGACCCCTGCTCCTCCATGAGCTCCTGTTTCTGTCTTGTGTCAGTGATAACATCGTGCCTGAGTGCACAGCCCTGGGGCCCTGCAGATGCCTCAGGTCATGCCCATTAAGCTGGCTTCACAGCCCTGATAAGGAGCATGCTTCCCCTTCCCAGTCCTCGGAAAGTCCCAGGTCTGTGTTGCTTGTCCTTGCCTGCAGCTCTGACCAGTGACCAGGACGGAGGCTGTGACTGCTATGTGCAGGGCAGCGTGGCCATCAGGACAGGCTCCGTGGAGGCACAGACAGCCCTGAAGAGGCGGCAGCTGCATACAACCTGGGAGGAGGGCCTGGCGCTGCCCCTCGCAGAGGAGGAGCTGCTCACGGCCACTCTGACCCTCACCCTCAGGACCTGTGACCGCTTCTCCCGCCACAGTGTGGCTGGGGAGCTCCGCCTGGGCCTGGATGGGGTGTCTGTGCCCCTGGGGGCCGCCCAGTGGGGCGAGCTGAAGACTTCAGTGAAGGTAGGTTCCATCTCACGGGGACAGGAACAAGCTGTCCGTGGAGTGTCGGGGCAGACATCTGGGCCAGAGGGGACAGAACACACCTAGAGACTGTCAGGTTGGGGTGAGAGGTGCGGAGAAGCCTTTGGCAGGGCTGCAGCTGGAGCAGATCTGTGGCCCGGAACTCAGGATTCCTGGGGTCCTCTTGGCCCGTGCTTCTTGCCTGTTGAAGACACTCCCTGCTCTCTTCATGCAAAGCTTCCTGGGTGTCCATTGGTTCCCATGCAACAGAAGTGCCATCATCCTTTTTTATGCTTTTTTCTTTTTTTGAGACAGGTTCTCACTATACAGCTCAGGCTAGCCTTGAGCTCACTATGTCACTTAGGCTGTCCTTGAACCCTTGGCAACCCTCCTGTCTCAGACTCAGTGATGGAATTACAAGTATGCACCACCACGTGCAGCTAGCATCCCTGTTGAATTCCAGTCATACTCTGTGTGCACCTACTGTGTGCCAGGCACTGCGGGGAGAGGTGGACAAGGGGTGGGGGAGGCAGCGCTCTCTGCTCACAGAAAGTGCAGGCTACAGGGATAAACCATGTTGACAAATGGCGGCAGTGGTGACCTCTGACACGCGGGAGCCTGTGGACTGAACCAAAGTGCTGTGAGAGAAAGTTCTAGAAGGCCTGGTGCACAGTGGTTTTGCATAGGGGTCTGAAGGACCCACCAGGCTGGGGATGAGTCACCATACAATTTCCTTCCTGTGCTGTGTTGGGGTGACAAAGAGTGACAGAATATCATCTAGGACACATGGCACTACTCAGAGAGGGGCTCCCTGCAACCCAAACAATTGCCTCCCATAGGTCTAGGCAGCAGGGGGCCAGAGAAGGGCAGGGCTGCGAGGTGGTGTGTGGTCACTAGGGCCTGGATCAGGGCCACTGTCAAGCACCTGCCACTGCGGTACCTCAAGGGAACATGTGGTGACTAGGCTGTCACCTGCTGTCCACAGCACTGTACGTATTTCCTGTCTGACCCTTTCTAGATTGTTTGTGCCCCTTCCTTCTTTCTTTTCTTTCTTTTACAGTACTGGGGATTGAACACAGATTGTCACACTGACCTACATCTCCAGCCCTTTCTAATTTATTTTTTAATTTTTGAGGCTGTGTCTCAGTAAATTGCCCGAGAGCTTGAACTTGTGACCCTCCTGCCTCAGCCTCCCAGAGTGCTGGGATTACAGGCGTGTGCCGTCACTGCTGACTCAGGGTGCTATTTCTGAGTCCTCCCCATAAATTAGTAGCAACCCTTGGGACTTAACCTGAGTTCTTCCACCTACTTCCCAAATCCACCAGTGAGAGAGACACTGTGATGGTCCCAGTTGTGACCTGAGGCTTACCATCATTACGGGGCCTGCGTAGGTGACCAGCCGGGACACCAGGAGCCCGACCTTGAGGCCATTTCATTGGACTCTAAACCCCGCTGTCTTATCCCTGCCACACGCGTGTACCTGACAAGCACGAGGTACAACCCACAAGCGCCTTTCCTAATGGATGCTCAGAGCACAGGGGCGAGAACGGTTCCGCTCCCCACAGCTCCTCCCGTAGCCAGCATTTCCTCCTTGTCACATTTTCCCCTTTCTCGGGCTTGGAAAATTGGTAGAATAATCCCAGCCATGCCTGCATGCAGCTAGATGGTTCCACAGCACGCTCTGTAATTAGCGTGTGATTCGGGGCTGGGCAAAGGCAGACAAGAGAGAACCAGCTTTCTCCAGACGCAGCGCCCCTCCTCCTGCCTTGCTGAGCTCTGAGGCTTCGTTAAACCCCAAAAGGGCTGACCGACCGGTCTCAGGCCCTCCCTGGCTTTGATCCCTCCTGCTAGAAGAGCAATACCACTCATTCATTCATTCATTCCACAAATACCTCGCTGTCCTGGGGACGCAGCCCCAACTGCTGTGGAGCCCCATTGTCATGGCCACCACTGCCGATACTCATCGCCCTGCAGATATCCCCAGCATCCACTTCCCCTGGAAATGCAAAGCAGAGAGAGCCCCCAGCCAGCCAGGGAGCCCCTGCCTGGTAAAGAGCACGGGCTGATTTAACCCTGGCTCGGGGAGCCTGCAGTTGGGAGGCCCCAGGTGTTCACTCCTCTGGGCCAGAAGGGGTTAACAGAGGCCTGGGCAGTGCCCCAGTTCTAGCCAAGACACTCAGCCAAAAGCGGCTTCTGCGTCACCGGGCCCCACAGTGCGACTCACCCTGAGGACAACCTGGAGTGATTCATTGAGAGTCAGAGAGAAAGAGGGGGCGAGGAAGCGGCCAGGACGCCAAGGGGAAGATGCGGGCACACTGCGCTAAGGTGCAGGGTGCAGGGCGGTCCAGGGCCCTGCGGGGCTGACAGGGCCCTCTCCACCCTGGGCTGGGGGAGCAGAAGCCTGCGGCCATCGCCCCATAGCTACAGCCCGGGCCAGCCACGGACCCCTGGCACAGGGCCTTGAGGCAGGAGGCCGGTGCCCGTTCCAGCTCTGCTGCCGCCCTGCCGGGTGCCTGGCACCTGTTCCCAGGCCTTGGCTCTTTCTCTGTGCAATGAGAGGCTGGGCATGTCCACCTGGGAAGCCAGAGGCCATGAATTTAGGACTCAGGCTTCCGTTCTGACCGGATCTCCCTTCCTGTCCCAGTGCAGGTGCTGGTGCCTGAGAGGGGAACGAGGTCAGCATCTTCTGAGGGTCACTGTCAAGGTTAAATGGGATGTCTCACCTGGGAAAAGGGTTTTTTTTTTTTTAATGTTTATTTGGTGCCCACTGTGTGCCAGGAGCTGGGATGCATAAGGAACTTACTGCCCAGGCAGAGATGATATAACTACCTTGAGCACATAGTTTGATAACGGCAGCTGTTATCATTCATGTCGTCCCCAAGGTTCCCTGAAGCCCCAAACCCGTTTTTCATAGATAAGTCACTTGTGGCTGGTTGAACCCGGGGCACCAAGTTGGAGATATTTTTCCTGCATGGGAGGTGTGACCCTAGGCCAAGGGAGCCCAGGCAGAGGGCTGGCTGTCAGTTCATCCAGCTTCATTCCCAAAGCCCACTTCGGTGCCTACGGACCCAGAAACAGTGCTTAAGAAGTGGCAGTGACCTTTCCTCAACAACTAATGATGATAATCCAAGCCAGCAGTGCCATAGTGCCCAGGACATGCTGGGCACTAGTTTAAACCTTTACCTATGAACTCAGTTTAATTTTTATAACAATCCCATAAGAGAGAGATAATACTATTCCCATTTTACAGATGAGGAAATCGAGGCTCAGAAAAATTAAGTAACTTACCCAAGGTCACACTGCTAGTAAGTGGCAGGACTGAAACTCAGACCCAGGCAGACGGCTCTAGAGTCTGTGTGCCCAGCATTATGGAACCCTTGCTCTGGGTTATTAATAATTACTGTAATTTTGATGGTTGTCATTATAATTTCATGGTGACTTGCTAAATGCAAGTTCTCATTTGATCTCTGCCACCTGTATTTCCTCATAGCATTGAATCCGGCTTGATATTATACATGCAATCACTTCCTGTCTGTCTCCCCCCACCCCATATGACTGCAGACTCCCTGGAGACTGTGCTGTGCTCAGTGCCTTAAATGCAGCATCTGAAACATAGTAGGTGCTTTTTGCACACGTGCTGTGTGGATGAGTCCCTCTTTCTTCTGCTACAGGAACCAACATGTAGAACAGTTCAATCACTTGCTCCGTGTCATTCAGGAGGTAATAGTGGAGCAGGGTTTGCTGCATCGTTGTGCACACAGGCCCTTCCGGCCAGGCCCTGTGCTGGGAGCACCACACTTGCCCAGGAGGACTGGCACCTGTCCTGCTTGACACACGCCCCAGGCAGAGATGAGCAGACGTCACCACACACGCCCATGCGGAGTGTGATGGAAGGAAGCCCAGGTGCCCTGGTGGTCACTAGCCAGGGGCGCCGGGTAGGGGTGCTCCCTGACACACCTCCATTGCACAGCAGGGAAAGAAGGACAGAGCTGCAGAGAATAGGAGACAGGAGTGAAAACTGACATCAAGGGGGACCAGCTTCCATCGTCCTCCGCATTCCCTGCCCCTACTCTGTGCAGCCCAGGTGGGTGGCGGCCTCCTCCTGGGGGCTGAGGGAGAAGGACATCTGCTTTCTGTAGAGTCCCCTGGTCCCTGCCCACTCGATTCTGTTCCTACCTGCAGGGTCTCCCCCAAGCTTGGATGACCACTAAAGCCCCGCTCCTGGGAGAAGTTTTAGATCATGTTTTTGTTTGCTTGTTTGTTTGTTTTCCTGTTCCTTCATAAATTTATTGAATTCGAGCACATTCTTACGGGACTATCAGTGGAGACGCTCTGTGAAGCACACAGGGGACGGATGTGTCTCTGCACTCCCCAGAGGCCCTTCACCTCTGGGGCACTTTCTGCTGCCCTGTGCCTGCAATGTTTTGTTGACTTGGCCTCTTGTTGACCAAGCCAGCCCCTGGTCAGCACATTTTTATGGCATTTTATTGACTCTGACACCCCAGAGGAAACTGGCTTTTCAAACAGAGGAATGAATTATGACTCTCCACTGCTCTAAAAACCTCATTGGTCAGTGCAGTAATTTTCAGATTGTGTTCCCTGGATCCCTGGAGTTCTGCAGAGGAACCCCAGGAGGCTAGGGATGAGGTGGGAGCAAAGGGTGAGGGGACCCCAGATTTCTGTCCTTCATACATCTTGAGTGCCATCTCCTTATTCTGTGATTGAAAAATAAAACTTATTATAGTAAAAGACACATTACCATTTACCCTCCTCAAAATACCCTCCCTCGATCCACACACTCATCCCATTATCCCTACCAATTTCTGCAGCAGTTCTGCAAGTCCTCTTTTGTGAATGTCTTTAGTTGCACTGTCATGGCTGCCTTAACATCCTGAACTGGTTCAAAACGTCTACTTATCATGTCTTCACAAGGGAGCCTTCCTTTTGGGTGGTGCTTGGCAGCAGTAGTCACCATATTTTTGAACACATTTCACAAAGATACTTGGAAAAGTGGACTCCAGAGCTGCTTTAGACAGTGGCAAGGAGGATGGGATAATTGTGATAAAAATGAGGGGGAGAGTTTGTGGGAGGATTCATGGCAGTGTGTCCTTTGGTGGAATAAACTTTTTAAATTTAAACTCTCACCGTATTTTTGATCACTCCTTGTATGTTGGGTCTGACTATATGACACATGGAAAATCACATTTTGTGGCAGACAGAATCCTGTAGATACCCACACCTCACAACACTGCTCAAGCCGCTCCCCTCTGAAGGGAAAGAAGCCAGGCTGGGTAAATGACGCATGGATGTCCCTTTATACAAGTCCAGCTTGACCCCAGGCTGAGCAATGCTTGTGGGTCAGAAGTCAGAAGTCCACCCCCACCGCGACTCCCTGCTGTGTCCCCTTCTGTTCCAGGAGCCGTCTGCGGGGACTGGAGAGGTCCTCCTGTCCATCAGCTACCTCCCGGCTGCCAACCGCCTCCTGGTGGTGCTGATTAAAGCCAAGAACCTCCACTCCAACCAGTCCAAGGAGCTTCTCGGCAAGGGTGAGTGAGACCGAGAGGACGGAGCCGGGGTGCCTGGATCATGGGGACGTCTGCAGGGGAGGTGACGGAGTCACCCTCCACCCAAGGTCACAGCCAAATCTGAATGCTACACTCTGTCCTTTGAGTTCACATCCATCCATCCCTGGCCCATCCCAGCCACCAGGGCCCAGCAAAGCGCTCCCTGGGCTCCCTGCCTCGGGGATCCCCCATGACAGCCATCAGCCTTACCATGGAGCCAGGAAGCCAAGGGTCAGGCTCCACCCATGGCAAGGAGTCCTGGGCTCTAAGGCTGGACCCGCCCCTGGGCAGGTGCTGACTCGGGGAAGCCCAGGTTCTTTTCCTCCCGTCTTTTCCAGCCTCCTCAGTCTCCTCTCTCCATTCTCAGCCTTGGCTGACTGCCACCCCCACAGCAGCTGAGTGTGGGTGACACAGAAGGTATGTGGGTGTGGGGTGGAGGCTTAGGGCGTCTGTGCCCCATTTATCCACATAAGCCTCTTTTCAACACGCTGGATGCCTCGGTTGTTCCTTCTAGGGACTCCAGCACAAGACCCAAGGCTTGGGATCAAAGCAGGCTCTTCCATCCGAGTAGGAAGGCAGCTGGGTTAGCCGGATAATACCTGGACTGGGGGCCAAGTGCATAGCACAAGATAAACACATCTCTATTAATAGCAGGGTACAAATAAAGCATTGCCATTGTGTGCAGGATCTTTAAGCAACATGTTTTGGGCAAATGAAATCAGAAAGGTTAATCTTGCTGGCAGATTCCCAAGCCAAAGGTCAGAGTTCTATGTTTCTTTCTCATGCTCTGTACTTAATTCTCTGCTTCTCTCTCTCTCTCTCTCTCTCTCTCTCTCTCTCTCTCTCTCTC